GTTGGCATTAAATTTTAGCGGCATAACCTTTAATTAATATCAAACTTAATCCGATCCGATCACCTATTTGCTGGCATTTGATATAAGCGAAGTTTTTTTTTTTTTTTTTTTAGCGAAATATGAGTTAAAAATCAGTACAACTTATACTATCGATGTTATCCAAACTATTTGGGACGTCCCAAATAGGTTGGGTAACATCGCTAACTTATACATTACTGCATTACCCGAACAATTAAATAAATCAAAGTAATCATATTACTACGTATTGGATAATGGTCATGTGATATAAATCTATCGGCTCGCGGCTCCATACTCGGTTTCAAGGTCTAGAGCCGAGCCGTTAATCGGCTCAGCTTAGCCGTTTGGCTCGCGGCTCAGCTCGAGCCGTTTGCATCATTATTTAGGCCTCAACTGCTAACACTAGCAGAACCCTAATGCTAGTAACACCGAATATGAATCTTTTTAAATCAATTTTTTGAATCTTTAAACAAAAATAACAAGAACTTACCTAACTAGAGATTACATATACTCATTGAAAAAAATCCCATTCGGATCTTCAATTTCATCATACAAATCATCTGGTCTTCAGTAATTACATTGAAGAGTGAGGCGTTTTTTAGAACAAAATCGAGGAAATTTCAGGATATTGTATCGCAGTGTTGGGTGCCTTGACAAGTCCAGTAAGTTGAATTGGAATTGGACTTGTACATTCAAATTGGATTCTGTAAGTCCAATGTTCCAGTTTATAAATCCGTACCCTTAATTTACTATAATTATATAATTATATAATTACAATTCCTATCCAGATGCAATCCTTATTTCTGGGAAACGTGTAAATTTGTAGTTTGTCCGAGAATTTGAGAATAGCTATAATTTACCAAATGATTTTGGTAATTTATTATACATTTTGAGTACAATTTTTACGTGGGTACAATCTCTAAATCGAAATTTTCTACAAGTTTCATAGAAAATTTATTAAATTTGATTAAGTTGTTGAGTTATCTTTGTTCAAAGTTTGCAAAAAAGTTTACTTAGAATTTGGTATGTTTCCACTGACTTACCCATATCTCGAATCAGCTCGGCATACGTGTAAAAGAAAAAAAAAAAACCCCCCCGAAATAAGACCTTGGGACGCTAATTAATAGACAATTTGTTCTTATAGCTTCTAACTTAAATGTCAACCAAAATTTATATCTTCATTATTTTTATAATGATTTCCTTTTTAAATCCGGAGCTATTGTACGTACGTATGAGATAAGAATTTATTGGTCATTTTCTTCTTTAGGTTGATATTACTCACGCAAATAAACAAAGCCGCTTTGATGCGACCACACATAAAGATCAGAAATTATGCTTGAATAAAAGAGTACCGTATGTTACCGATTAGAAGCAACCACCGAACAAAAGCAACCCCAGATTTTGGAACAAAAAATTTGACTAAGGTTGTTATGTTCTACTAATAAAATTGGAACCAAACATAAGCAACCCTTCACTTTGGCTCGAAAAGATTCTCTTTTTTTTTTGCAACATTTTGGTTGCTTCCATTCAGCAACATATGGTATAGAATTTTACTAGTAGTACATATGTTTATTATTGTTCAGCTATTCACGTGATAAAGATGAATCCACGAAACATGTTTCAAAAAAAACAAAAATCATTTTTTAATTTAATTAATGACAATAACAAATACATTATTGTTCGACAAATTCAATGAATTTGCGTTCATTCAATCTTGCCCCCTTGCCGTTAATGTGGGAGGGTCCCCTGAATACCCTCTTGAAAGAAAATAATTTGTCAAGAGATTCATTATTTTATCTCCCTACTTTACTACGTGTTTCAGGCTGAAAATTGTCGCAGTATATTAGAAAGTCTAACTAATGAATGGTACGTGCCTGAAGGAGTGTTTTGCTATGTCCAAGAATAATCAACTTTTTAATGTTCTCCGCGAAATTTACATTCTACAAACAATTCCTTTGATGCATAATTTATTTCAATATAATATGTAGGATTGGCTAAACATTTAAAAGACTCGTTTTTTTTCCATTTCGAAAATTATGCTTAGAGAATTTACATTATTTTGAAAAAAAAACAAAATGCGATCATTGATTAAACATTTATACATTCATTTGTTACTTATTATTACTTTCTCTTCATTCTCAATTTCTGAAAACGATTCAAACCTAATTAATTCCTCTATCTTACGACGAAGTACGTATTCTGGTGATTGTACATTTTACGCTGTGGGTCTAGGTGCTTGTGGATATGTCAATAACAACGAACAAATGGTAGCTGCTTTACCAGCAGAGCAATTTGACCATTTAACTAAAAAGAAAGCTTGTGGTTCTTCTGCTATAGTTCATCGTGGTGGTAGGAGTATTATTGTAAGGATTGTAGATAGGTGCGCTAATTGTAAAGTTGGTGACATTGATTTATCACCTGATGCCTTTAGTGAGCTTGCTAAACCCATAGAAGGACGTGTTCACGTCACTTATTCTCTTAAAATAAGTTAATCGGATGAATATTGTTATCTGCTATAGCTTTTAAGTCTTTCTGTAGGTGAACAATAATTTTATTTGGATTAAAATAGTTTCACTTTTTATATTCAACTAATTGTACGTACGTACATACGTACATTTTTTATGTGATAAATGTGCGTATTTACCCAAAATTAGTTCATTTTGCAAAATTTTTTATTAATCAAAAAAAAAAAAAGATTTAAAATTGTTATTTACATAGCATATCATGTATAGTTTTATCAATACAAAAAAATATATATTTTTTAATGCTTTTAAGTATATACGTATTAATAATTATTATTATTAATACTAATCCCACTTGATAAAAAAAAAAAAGGTTTGTGTGCAAATTTGGACACGAAATTTTTTTCGACCTATTTTTGTTCATTTACTCTAAATTTTTTGTTAAGCCATATTCCTCTATTTTCTAAACTAAAATGAAAGTGTGCCGTACTAAACAGTCAAAAAATTAGTGTGTAACAAATTCCGACATTTTACGTATAAGAGAACAATTTTCGTCTCAATAATAACACTACAACACTACAATCTATCGCATCTTTGTGTTATAATGTTTATGACTTATCGAGTCTTTCTTCACCTAATAATAATAATAGGCTTAAAGGCATTAACGAATTAAAAACCAAAAAGATCTTCCACTTAAGTAAAGTACTATAATACATAACAGCTGCTAAGCCACCAATTTCGTTGCGATAATTAATGTTGAATTCTTTATATAATGATAATGGAAAAAACGTGTAAGCTAATAATAATATTGATCTTTTCTAACAAATTACCCTTCGGGGACTAGCACCGAAGGGTAGTTTTGTTAGAAAAGATCCCATCTAAAGGGGTCTGAAGCGACAAGAACAATGCTTTAGATATCGACATTAATTATTGTCGCGGCTAAAACTGGAAATTAAGGACCTCGATTTGAAAATATAAACCCTACCAAAATCCACTTATACATTTTTATTATCAAAACTAACCCTAAATCCTAAGCTAACTACAAAAAAAGGCTAAAAAATGCACCCCAAAAATTGTTGAAAACTTCATTTAAAATTTCCAGCTTCAGCCATTTCCAACTTCAGCCACGGCAATTATTCTGCTGATAATCAATTCTAGATAAGCAATTGGATGAAGATATTTTGCTGTATAACAATTTTGGAATAAATGAAGAGAAAGTTAGCATACATGATCCTGATAGTGATTACAATATTCTCGACGACGATAGTATTAGTTCTGCCACTGATATAGAAAACTAAGGAATTAGGAATATAGTCAATAATGTTAATAACGATGATGAAATAAATTTATTTACATTATATGAATCAGCCCTTGAGAGGGCCAAATTATTAGCAATGAAAAAGAAAGTAATTATAATAATAACATTGAGTGGGAAGATCTAGATTACGAATCTACCAGAGATGTCTAAAGTTATATTGATATTGGTTATCTGGTCATTATCATGCCGAAATCATTAACTTATCGAATCGACAGAATAACCATTCGATTGATTTTTTATCAGTAAATAAGATATCTGTTATCCACATAGGATCAGATTTGGAATCATTATCTATCAGAATATCCCAATATCTCCACTAAAAATTTGCAGTTCTGTGACTGAAACCATATCAACCAATCAGATATGCATTAGCAATAAGCCAAGATTTCGAAGCATTTATAGATGGTGCCTAAATTATTTTTTTAGCTTGCCATAAATAAAAATTGCCAAAAATAATTTTGGATTCTCTGATTCCGTAATTATTTTCTGATGCCGAATTTATTTTTTGGAGTTATTGTGCGTAAATTTTAATTGACAATATTTTTTAACAGTTTTTATTCTTATTATCTCATTTCTTGCATACTTATTACTAATTATTTTTTTCGTTTATCTCACTTTTTAATTGGATAAACGATACGGGTCGATAAAAAAAATCGTGGGCTGGGTCGATCCTAAAAAAACTCGGGCCGGTCGACCGGGTCAACCCCTTTGCTGGTATAATTTTTTCTGATCAGTATCTGTCAACATATGGGGGGAGGTCAATAGAAACAGGCAAATTTTTTCTAAGTAAAATTTTTTTAAACTTTTAATTCAAATATTTTAACAACTATCAAACCAAATTTAATAAAAATTTTTTTATTTTAATTCTATATAATTATAGATCAAAATACTTTTTTTTTTATTAAACTTGGTTTAATATTTGTTAAGATATTTAAATTTAAATTTTTAAAAAAAGTTACTAAAAACCATTTGCTTGTTTTCTATTGACCTCCCCCCATATCAATATAAGGCCATCATGTGGTTTTTTGTCAAATCCCAGTGATATTAAATTATTTAAGAGGTAGTTCGCCTCTGAAGGGGTAAAAAAATGGCAAATCTTATAATAAACAAAATCGAAAAATTCATGTTTTTTCTATAGTACAGGAATCTGTCCTGCTTACATATAAAAGTATTTTTTGATTATGTAAACCTTCGTTTGGCTTCTAATAAAAGTTGTATGGTTGTAAAATTATTAAAATCGGTTAGATAGATAATGAGATATTCCGATTTTTTACTATAGGGTTTTTTCTTAAGATTGGAAGCGCAAAAATACTATTCCTGATGGATCGACAATACCGATCTTGATGGTGTTAAAAAAAATTTATTTGAGTAATGTTCCTCATAGGGTTCTAAAACAAACCCTAATCCTAACTTATTTTCATTGTAGTAATATAGTATTTTGGAGGCCTTTTTTTAGAACCCTATCAGAAACAGTATATGTAAATCGATTTTTTCCCCACCCTATTAGGAACAGTACCTATGATCCATTAGGAATGGTATTTTTGTATTTGAAGCACATGGGATTCCACTTCTATATAAAGCAAATAGTAAAATTTTTACAACGCTTCTAAATACTAAAATTGGAAGTGATTTATAATGCAAGCTCTAACTAGGTTTATACTTCTATTGCTTTGTTATCTAAAAAGAGCAAGGCAATGAGAATATCAAGACTATCTGTAATTCTAAAAAATTAGAAAAAATATTTCACAAAACCCATTATTTGGAAGTTACAATTGTAACAAAAAATAGTAAGCTTCTTACCAATATATGAAAGTATTTAATAAACAAGAGTTGGCAGTATATCAACTAAACTAAATATTAATAATTAGATTATAAGATCTTCAGACTGTAAAATAGCACTGGTGTTAATTAGCTAACTAGATTAGCTTTGGTTTTCCAAGGTTAGAAGTAGTTTGCAAAAGTTACAAAATTATTTATAGAGATTTATCAAATTTGAAAGCTTAGATATAAGTAGTATAAGATAAGTAGAGAATATAGTTAGGTAAAATACTAAAATAAGACCAGTAAAAAGTAGAAAAATATTAGGTAAATAATATTTATAAGGATTTACTACTTTGGTAATATATTTCTAAATATAGTGTTTAGTTTTTTACACAGTATTTATAGGTATTTTTTTTATTTTTTTAATGTTAAGGTGACCACTTGGGGGGTTTGGCACGTTTATTAACTTCGGTTGCAAATGTCAGGGCAGCCACAGGACCACCCCTGACTTTGTTACATTAATGAGGGTATATACTAGCCATATCTATGCCTTTTGAGCGTCTAATTAAGTAGTTCCCTATTACTAAGTACTACACTAGATGTCGTACCTATAACCTACTATTACTTGAGTTACCCAATTAAACCCTCTGATCAACTTGGCGCTGTCGGATATTCTCCCCAAAGATGAACTGCCGCTAAGGCCCCTTAGGACTACTTTATCCTTGTGGTCCATGTCCCACACATGTATCACCTAGATTTTTTGGTAACTTGCGCCTAGGCCGAAATCAAGTACTTGCGGTATTTCTCTGCTATCATTACCTACTCCTTGCTCTTACAAAGTTCATCCAAATCTCAGCACACACTTTACAGACTAGCACCGACTTTCCTCTACCAACAGTATCCCAAACTCCCAATCCAGATAGCCCTGGAAGGGACCAGTGGGTGTCCCCTTGGTATTCTGATTAAATCTTTTTTCCTCATTTACATGGGGCCACCCCCGTATACTCGTGGCCTGGTTGGTATTAGTGTCTTGCCAAACACCCGGTCCTCGTCCAGTTTACTGCCGGTGTTTGATCACTGATGATCATCCTTTACGTAATACTGTCGAAGATCTGTGCTACCTCTCTACTCAGGACTTGCCAAGCGGGTTCTGTATGCCCAGCCCTTGGATTTACACAAACATTTCACTCAGATTTCGTATAACTTTTGCATCACACTATAGTTCCGCATTCTTCCAGTACAAGCTGGTGTGACCAAGGCTACAGATCTGATGATCCATCAGATTACACACAGTCTGCCGTAACACATTCCTTAAATTCGAATTTCGTCACTGGTGGGATTCGAACTCTTGTCCTGCTGCTTGGGGGTGCGACAACTTCATCACTTCACTAAGTCACCACACATAGTATTTATAGGTATAGTCATTAGCAAAAGTAATATCTAATAAAATTTTTAAAATTGAAGTAATAAATTACTATATATAAAACTTTTTCTTATTAAGTAAACTATATTTAGCATTTTAATTGCAAATATTCTACAAAATAAAATATAATAATGACTAAAGTTTGATACAATTTATGAAAATTTTATCAATCAACTTTGCTGTTTAAAAATTAGTAAAAAGTTTAAAAATAATTATCTTACTATAGGTATAGTAACTTAGTGAAGTGGTTATGTTGTTGTACCTCCAAGTAGCATGTTAGCAGGTTGGGTTCAAAACCTACTAATGATAAAATTTCAAATATTCTGTTTGTACAACAGCTACTGTCTTTTAAAGATCAGTTGAAATAAGATCTTTATAACTTTGATAGTACTAACAAGATTAAAAGTTATAAGATATTTGTACAATATATAAGTTATATAAAGATATACAAACTGGCATTGTGTGGTGCAAATTTGAGATAAATTCTCATGATTGTATAAATTTAAGAAACTAAAAAAATAAATATCT